GGAGAGTCCTCCATGACAGCCATGGGTGCATGCATCCCAGGGGAGAATCCTCCATGACAGCCATGGGAGCATGCATCTCAGAGGAGAATTCTGGCCATGGCACCCATGACTCCCACCTGTGTTTTCTTGAATTTGTTGTCGGTTGCGTAGTTGATTGACAGGCATTTTGAAGGGGAACAAATGAGTGGGAATGACAATTGTACCAAAAAAGAAGTAAATAAAGAAAAGACTTGCTTACATGGTGGAAATGATGTATCGACTGAAATCGATTCACTGACCAGGAGTGAGAACAAATCGCAAACTGGGTTAAATGTAAGTGGGAATGAACCCCAAGTTTTCCTTATTAAATGGCTGTTCCCCAAAGCTTCTCTCTCTCTCTGTGTTGTGTGCCTTCAAGTCGTTTCCAACTTCTGGCAACCCTAAGGTGACTTTATCATGAGGTTTTATTGGCAAGAGTTGTTTAGAGGAGGTTTACCATTGCGTTTCCCTTAGGCTGAGAGCATGTAACTTGCTCAAGGTCACCCAGTCGGTTTCATGCCCGAGCTGGGAATCAAACCCCGGTCTCCAGAGTCATAGTCCAACACTCAAACCACAACAGCCTGATGGTATAGAATGTCTTCACCTGTGCCAGTTTCCTCTCCAAATGTTGTTTTCTTCCTGAAAGTCTTATCACTGGAGCAAGCAGCAGTAAGAAACCTGAGAACACAAAAGTGTTGGATTTGGGCCTGGAATAAATATTTGGCTAGGTAGCCAAGGGACTAAAAACCTGAGAGTCAGAGGTTGGAAAACTAGGTTTTGGACTACCTCCCAAAATCCAGGATGGCAGGGACGTTCTGGGGATTATAGTCTAAAAATGTTACTTTTCAAGTTCTGGCCAACACATTGGCAAGGTGTCTTGATAGACATCTTTCTTTGTTGCTATGTGCTTTCAGGTCATTTCTGACTTATGCCAACTCCAAAGTGACTCTATCATATGGTTTTCTTGGCAAGATTTGTTCAGAGGAGGTTTGTCATTGCCTTTCTCTGGGAAAGTGTGATTTGCCCAAGGTTACCCAGTGAGTATCCATTGCTGAGCAGGGATTTGAAGCCTGGTCTCCAGAGTCCTAGTCCAACACTGAAGCCACTAAACCACTCTGGCTCTTTCCTTTTCTCCTAACTATGGGGCTGAACAGACTGCCCCTAAGAGGCAGTATCCCACCGCCCCTTGCTTTGCTGGATTGGGCTGCAGCAACCACACACCGTGGCCCCAATCTGGTGCTTTGCTGCTCTAAAAAGAGCTGTCAAATGTTGCTCCTTTTTAGAGTGGAAAAAAGCTGCCCTTGCCATGACAGCAGTGGCTTTTCAGTGCTCCTTTGGCACAGCATGTGAACACTGTGCCAAGGGAGCACCCTAACGCCACTCGCCCTGCAGTGGGGTGCACGGTGTGAGGACGACATGGGGGTGGAGTCAGGGCGGCCAGCGTGCAGTTGCCATGCCCCCACTCCACTATACCAAATCTTAAAGTCCTCACTTCAAAAGGGCCTATTCCATAAAGCAACATTGTACTGCTAATCTGTTACCAGCACAGCTCTTCTGATGCCTGGTAGCTATGAAATGGAGTGTATAACTCTTTAGTGAAAAGTTTTTTTGGTCAGGGGCAATATTTCATTGGCTTTCAGAAGCTATCTAGCAGCTAGATTCTAAGTATGTTGGAAGCTAGTCCTACTTTAGAGGCATCACATTAGAGTTATCTTTCCTAAACTGTAGCCAGCCAAATGTTTAGGACTTTGACTCTTATCACCTCCAGCCAGCATGGCCAAAGATCAGGAATCCTGGGCATTGTAATGCAAAACACCTGGAGGGCATTAGGTTGGAGTAAGGTGGGTTCAAGGAACTGATCTTTTATTATATTCTCCTGCTGTGTTCTTCCAAGTACAGCAAACTGCAGAAAGGTTAGTATTTTCTATTCCCTTTTTGCAACTATGTGGCTGTCTAGTCCCTTTCTTCAATTTGTTGTCTTCTGGAACCTGGATCTCTCCACATATTTTACACCAATGATGTTTGCACAGATACATCTTAGGTTTATGTGTTAGAAGTGCAACAATGCTGAGCACTGAAGAGTCAACAATGCCTTAGAGAGGACAGTAATAATAGGGTTAAGACAGGTTGAATGACCGAAAGCGTCCTCCCTTCTGCTCTATTTATTCTGACCTGCCTGTGATGTAAACTGAGGGATGTTTTCCTATTTTGTTTCTTCCTGCCACTTCTCTCTCAACTCTTCCCTAGAGTGAAGCTAGATAATCTCTATCATTATGCAGATATAAGGGCTTGGAAAGTTGCTTTTGAAAAGTAATGTATTCCCATGATCATATTTAAAAAGCAATTCCTTGCCATTAATAATAATAATAATAATAATAAATTTTATTTGTAGCCCGCCCCTC